AAGAAAGGTGCTGCTGGGCTCTGCTGTTGGAGACCAGCTCTGAAGGTTTTGCAGGCTCCTGAGAAATTGCATATGTAAAACACCATTAGCTTTTGGGGGTGTAAATGAGCTCAACCAAAGGCCCCTCCCTCCGCTGGCTGTCAGATCTGAGTGAATTTAGCCCGGAATCCCTCTGATCCCAGGCGGCTGATTTTCAGAGTGGGGACCACAGGGGCCGGGCTCCTTCTGTCTCTTAAGGAGGAAGGAGCTGGTCCCCCAGGCAGGGCCCCAAGGCAGATGAGCTATGTCCCTGTTAGGACCCCTGGTGAGTGCACCTGTCCTGAGGGTCCTCCCTTGGGTTCTTCGTGGGCTGCAGCTCCACCCTGCTCACCTGGGAAGAGCCGTCCTGTCCCTTGAATGCACATCACTCCGTCTCCTCTTGGCTGTGTCCCCACAGCCCCCTCTGTGGCCCTTGTCACCCTGAAGCTGCCAGGATGTGTCTTCGACTCCAGGCACAGTTTGCCCCACAGTTTTGGCAAGTTGGCCCTTGAGTCGATTGACCCAGACCCACTTGAAGCAGTCCGGTCATGTCCAGGACCTGCACCCCAGCCGGGCCCCCTGCTTCTCAGCCCCCTGGACGCCCTGGGCCCTGCCCTGCTCCCCTCCCAGCCACCAGGCCCCTGCCTGCCTGAGAGCTTGGCCCGGCGCCCTCTGTGCCCCGAGAGGCCTTCTGTTCTGTCCTTCACGAGCAGCTGGGCTGCAGGGGTGGCTTCCTTCTGGGGGGCGGCAGCCAGGAATGAGCCTCTCCGGACCTGGAATCGCCCGGGTGTTCTCGCAAGGGGGAATTTGGAGAGAAGGGACACAGCCTCTCCATCCCAAGGCCCCAGCACTGGCTGCTGGAGAGATGGGGACCCTGCAGGCCGACGTCCACACGTGCACACGGTGGATGTGTGTGCGCGTGGGCGTGTAGATGTGCGAGGCGGAGGGAGAGGCGTGTGGGCCGGGCCGGGTCCCAGGGCTTCCGCTTCCTCTCAAAGGCTCAAGCTTGCAGAGCTGGTCCACACTGGGCCCCAAGGCCCAGGACAGGCACTGGGCGCGTGGCCAGCGGGAGATCCACGCCCCTGGCCTGCACGGGCCGAGGGCCCCGTGGTTGTGACACAGGAGCAAGCTGGACCGCTGTCCACATCCGTCAGCCGCCATCCCTCTGCCCCCTCAGCACCCCCAGCCCTGGGCGACGCCCTCCCCCGCTGGGAGCTGCCACGACACTGGGGCCAGAGGAGAGGAGGTGGTGACGTGTGGGCACGAAAGGCCCCTTTGTCCCTGGGACGTGGCGACCCAGCCCTGCGCCTCCGTCCGCCCCCAGCAGGAAGTGGGCCGGGTCTGAGTGAGCCGAGCTCCGGTGACCAACGAAAGACGCTGAGTGATCAGCCTGGCCGGCCAGTGCCCTCCGCAGGACCGGCACCCGCACGCCCGGGCCACCGTGCCAGGTGGGGACAGGGCGGGGGCCAGGCAGCAGGTGCCTGTTTGATTTGCAGACACACCCATATGACTGCTGTGCGCCAGGCCAGCCCATGAAGTGGTCCCACAAGCATGGCAGTGAGCGTGCCTGTGAACGTGTGCACATATCTGTGTGTATGTCCGTGGTGTACACGTGTGTGCTGTTTCACACGTGTGGGTGTGGTGTGCATGCCTTTGTGGGTGTTTACGTGTGTGCATGTGTCTGCACGTGGGCATGTGTGACCTCTGCATTCCTGTGCATGTGCACACGTGTGTACGTGTGTGTGAACGTGTGTGGCCAGACTCTGTGGCTGCAGCGTGGGCAGGACCTACGCCCCTCCCCCTATTGAAGGCACTTGGGACCCTGCCCCTCAAGCTTTCCTCCCTCTTCCTGACTGACCCTCAAATGTTGTCCCGTTATGTTTGTGGGGCTCCCCCCAGGAGAATGGGGGTGCATGTTCCCCCACTGCCGTCACCCCGCCTCTTAGTACTGCGTGTGAGACAGAGCAGAGGGGATGAAGGCTTGGTGACACGCCCTGTGCTTTGGGGAATGGGAACGGGGCCCGTGTCCTTGACCGAGGGCCTGGAGCCCAGCTGAGCTGCGGCCGGGGGGAGGAGCCTCAGGAGACCAGCAGGCATCCCAGCCCCTTGGATGCTTGGAGGCTGGCTCGGTCTCTGCCAGTGTCCGTCTACCGTCTCCAGCCCCACGGTCAGTGGCCAAGAGTGGCTTCTTTCCTCACCTGACCATGAAAGGTGTGTGTTTCACACATGGACTGGCCAATCCCTGGGCCAGGTACTCCACTTGCAGCTTCTCCTCTGTCCCCTTGGTCACCAAGCTTCCCGGGGAGGATGGAGCCCACGGGAAGCACTGCTGGCTCGAGGTCCTCTGCTGACACAGCAGTGCAGGATTGAACCCTTCCCTCCTCTGCTGTCTGGTCCTGCAGGCTAGCCAGGGAAGCGTGGGTATCAGAACCAGGCCTCTGACGTGGCCCATGCTGCCCTGCCCCGCTGGTCTGGGCCAGTGCCCTTCTGGGCTCCAGTCTCTCTGTATGGGGCCTCGCCTCGGCCTCCCTGCCTCCAGAACTGCATTTCCCTCTTGCATCTGAGGGCAGGTCTGTCACCTGAGAAGGCCACGTTCCTGCTCTTGGCTCCGCTCCCTGGGCACAGCTGGGGTCTGGGTCCCCCCGCCCCGTGGTGACAGGCTCAGTACGCTGACAGCATTTCCCTGGGTGCGGCTCAGGAGACAGACAGGAGCACAGGTCCAGATTTTTTTAGCCGCTCTTGAGCCTCCTCCCACGCCGTCTGTCCTGGATGACCCCAGAGAAACCCTCCCTTCTTTCTTTAATTCGTCACGACCGTTTCTAAGCCACGCACACAGGGTTTCCGGGGATTGGTGGGGTGTGTATTTCAATCCTGTTGCTGCCTCATGGGTTTACGGTTTGCATTTGTTGGTGTGCGACGAGGTTTTTGTGTTGTCATTTACTGTCACCAAAATGGTGCACCAGGGATGGTGGGGCTGCTCCAGGGACTTCTGCCAGAACGATGAGCAGATGAGGAAAAGAGTCCCGAGGGGATGTGCTGGGGAAGGCAGCCACCTGTGGCCCGCGGGTCCTGGCAGGGCCGCGTGGAGCGCGAGGTGCGGCTAGAGCCGGGCCTGCCGTGGCCTAGAGACGTTTCTGGGCAGTGAGACAGCCCGTCCCCCACGCCTGCCGTGAGAGCAGAGCCGCGTCTCCTCTTTCGTGGGAACCACGCTGACGCTCAGCTGGAGTGTCTTTCCGCTCTGACTTCAGTTGGCTGCGGGGCATTTCCGCGCTGTGAAGTCTCCCGGGCCGTCTTAGCTCAGGCTGTAGTCACAAAGCACCATAGGCTGTAGGTCTTGAACAGCAGAAATTCATTTTCTCGAAGTCCAGAGGCGAGGAGGCTGTGATGCAGGTGCGGCTGACTGGTGGGGACCCCCTCCTGGCTCACAGACGGCTGCCTGCACTGTGTCCCACGTGGGAGAGGCTGAGCTCTCTGAGGTCAGTTCCTATAAGGGCACCAATGCTGTGGGATGAGGCCCCACCCTTATGACCTCATTTAACCTCAGGTACTTCTGTAAAGGCCCTGTTTCCAAGTCCAGCCACTCTGGGGTCAGGACTTCCTCCTGTGACTGCAGGGGGCGGGGGTCACAGCTCCGTCCGTAGCTCGGCCTGGAAAGGAGCTGGTCTCAGGATGACCAGCTGGCTGTGGGTAGAGAGATGCTTAGTGTGGGTCCAGGTGAGCAGCACGCTACCCACAGGGCCCTCTGCCTGCCAATCGATCCCAGGACACTCCCCGCTGTGCTCAGGCAGCTCCTGCTTGTTTGTCAGAATTGGCATCAAGGGGTCACCTGGGATGCCATCCTTGTCTGTTTTCCAGACCACCTCCCAGCCCACCCTTTGTTAAGACTCACCGAGTCACCCTCCCCTGCAGGGGCCCCAAGGCCCAGGCCCCCATGGGGTGAGGCCCCTCTCAGGTCCCCTATCGCCTTTGTAGGGACAGTCACTGCCTGCAGGGCTGGTGGCGTGATTGGCGGCCCGCATGCAAAGTGGAAATGCTGGGATCCTTTAAAAGTTATTAAGAATTTCAAGATGCAGGAAGAGCAGGGTGGGGCCACGGGGGCCACTGCAGCCACCAAAGCAGTGGAACCTGCTTTAAAAAGGATGCGCATCACTCTGTCCTAATTCAAAACGACCCGTAGTTCCCAGGTTCCTTGAACAGTTCCATGCATACACTCGGTGTTCTCTCCATTACAGAGTCCCTCCTTCCAGGGTCTCCGTCACATATGGGTTCCCAGGCCCTCCCGCCACTGCCACAGAAAGGTGGTGGGTTTACCAGGAAGAGAGAGACGCAGCCCCCTTCTGCCTGGAAGCGTGGGTTTGGAGTCATCAGTTCTTAGCGGCCACGGGGTCTACCTTCCCCACCCCATCTGACAGTGACAAGGACTCGAGTCCTGATGTCACCAGTCCTGGGACGTCCTCGCGCGGGGGGGGGGGTCCCCTTTGTGGATGAGGCCCCTGGAGGGCCGTGGCCTCCGTACGATCTGCCAGGAGTCCCCACCCTCCCCCTGCGCACCTCCCTCCCAGCACCCACCCAGGCCCCAGGATTGCGGCCTGCAGTCGGGCAGTCCCCACTGCATCTGAGGGGGGGGTCCTGACCGGGAGACCTACCCCCACCCCCGCCCACTGCTGTCTTTCCTGGCTCCCATGCAGATTCCAGACAAAGGAGAGAAGTACATTGTTGCCTCCAGGAAGGGAGGTTCTTGAAACCGTCCCCAGCGCCCTCAGTCACTACTTACTGAGTGGCCAATGGCAGAGCTGGTGGTTGGCAGTGAGCGATTGACTGCGAGGCCAGGGAGGGGGCAGCAGTCTGGCCAGGCCACCTGACTGACACCAGGCACTGCCCACTGGACCGTCCCATCCCTGAGTTCCGGTTCCGGGAATCGAGCTGCGTAGGTACGGCTCAAGCCCCAGGCCAGCGCTGACAGCTCTCTCTTCTCTCCGCAGCACGAATCATCAAAACAAAGCAGTGGTGTGACATGCTCCCTTGTCTGGAGGGGGAAGGCTGTGACTTGCTGATCAACCGGTCAGGCTGGACGTGCACGCAGCCCGGCGGGCGGATAAAGACCACCACGGTAGGTGCGCGGCGCTGGCTGTGCGGGGGGTGCGGGAGCCTTAGGCAGCAGAGCGTACTGGGGCGGGGTGCACCCCACACCCGCGATGACAGGATGGACACACAGGCTGCCAGCCCCGCCTCCTCCAGAACCTCCCTTCTCTGCAGCCGGATCAGTCTGTCTCCGGGCTGCTCAGACCCATCACACGGTCACTGAGTGCCCAGCGGCCCGAGAGGCTGGACAGAGCCCTCTCCAGGCCGGTCAGCCCACACAAGATTGCCGGTGAAGTTGTCCTGTTTCTGGGTGATGTACTCCCAGCTCCAGGCTGGGGGGAAGGTTAGAACCCACAGAAGGGCCTCGGAACGAAGGGCCTTTAAAGAAAAAGGATCGGGGAGGGGCCGTGGGCCTCATCCAGGCCATCCCCTCGCCCCCCAGGCAGGCATGGTGACTGTTTGGAGCACAGACCCCGAGAGCCCCTGAGGGTGCCTCTGTCCCTCCTGGATCCCACCGAGAGGGACAGTTGTGGACTCCGGGCTCCCCAGGCTGGTCTCCCGCAGGCTGGGAGGCAGACGGCGGCAAAGTGGCTTTGGGGCTGTTTGCTCTGAGATTCCTTTCCCAAAGGAAAACTCATTAAGCACAGGCTGGGATGGTGTGGGCCAGGGGAGCGGGGCTGCCTGGCCGGGGCCACAGGGACGGCTCTGGTGCTCCGTATGCTGGGCCCGCACAGTGTTGGACTCCACCAGCCAATTTTCACCCCTCATCCGGGCTCTTCCTCGTGACATTGACGTAGACAGCTGAGGACTGGGGTGGGCTATGGCTCCTGGCCAAAATTCCCGCCTCGATGCTGGGGGACGTTATGTCAGGGAGGTCTGGGGTCTCATGGAAGGATCTGGAGTTCTCCCCTGGCATCCATGGCAGAGAAGCGGGGGCCACGGCCCCTCAGGAATTAGTCTAGAGGAAAAACCACCCCTTCCTGCCCTTGCAGCCTCCGCTGGAGAAGTCAGATGGGCTGTTTCAGCAATGTCCTTAAGAGGCCAATTAGGTGTAGCTGCTCTGAGATGAGACACAGACGCCCTGGTCCCATCGCCGGCAGGGAGGTCGGGTGGGGACAAGCCAGGCCTCCGGGGGCACATTCTGAGGACGGGGCTGTCAAGTGGAGACGCGGGCCCCCGGCTGCACCCAGGCAGCCCATCAGAGGTCTCGGAGGCCTCTTGTGTTGGCGGGAGTTCAGGCAGGGGGGCCCTGCCTGCAGCCTCCCCTTGCAGGCCTGGGGGCCGGTCCCGAGCAGGGCCACCCACGAGGAGCGTTGGGCTGGGCTGCAGCAGGCGCCCCCAGGTCTCCAGTCGTTGAAGCCGCAGCTGTGCGCTTGTCTGAGCATTGGCTGTGCTTGTTCGTGCACGTGCAGCACGGAAGCGAGGGATCTGTCGTCACACCTGGCAAGTGTGCAGGTGTGCCAGCTCATCACCTGCCACCTGCCTCACTGCTCCGGGAGCGGAAGGGCCCCTGAGGTGGGGCCGCTGCCTCCCCGACCGTCTAGGAAGCAGCTGACCTTTCCGGGAGCGGAAGGGCCTCTGAGGTGGGGCCGCTGCCTCCCCGACCGTCTAGGAAGCAGCTGACCTTTCCAGGTTTTCCGAAAGGTGGAGACTGGGGGACAAGCAGACCCCTGGACCCCCAGGGCCACCGCCCCCAGATCCGTGGGGCCCGGGGTCAGCGTGTGGATGCGCAGGGGGCCCAGGCCAGCCCTGGTCCGGGAGGTGCTGCATCGGGGGTCTTTTGAATGAACACCCACAGGAGGTGAGGCTTGGAGGGGGCTCCGGGCCACCCGCCCTCCGTGGCGGGCCTGGCTGTGCGTGGCTGCGGGGTCAGGCCTGCCCTCCAGGTCGTGTGGCCCCAGGCAGCACCCCTCAGTCTCCTCACAGTGGATCGGGGCGTCTCCTCCCGTCAAGCCCCCGAGCCCGTCCCGGCTCCCAGCTCCCTGCGCCCCCACCCCTTGGAGGTTCTGGGAGGCCTCTAGGTGCAAAGGGCGCCCCTTTGGCAGCCCTAGCACCCTATCCCTGCAAGCACAGCCTCAGGTCCTTAAGTTGCCCTAAGACGTTTGCTGAGAAGGTGCAGACAGTCGTTCCCTTCGGGCTTACAGGTCTCGGAGCTCAGAACCATCACCTCGGGTTTCCAGCCGTGAAAACTGCAGCTGGGGTGGCTGAGGGAGGCCACGGCCGGGGGTCAGTGAGCCGTGGAGTTGGGTCTGCCCAACTCAGACGCGGCCTTGGCGCTGCAGAAGGCCCACGCGTCTTCCAGGTGAGAAGACAGTCTCTGATGCGCGCATCCTGAGATCAGCCCGCCCTGGAGAGTGCCTCGTGCTGGAACAGGTGCATCAGGAGAAGCCCACGGTCCAGGCAGGAAGTCCCCGCCACACCTGGGGCAGGTCAGGGAGGGGTGCACCCGCTCAGGGCCCCTTCACTCCCCCGGCGGGAGGCGCTCACACTCGGAGACACGGCCGAGTGGCCGGACGTGTTCCGTGACAGTGACCTCCTGCCTATGTGCTGGCCCACAGGGTCACATCCCCACCGGGGAAGTGGGCCCCGGGTGCTTGGGTTGGCAGATCCCACTGAGATGACCCTAGGGGACCAGCGAGCTCTGTCATCGTCCCAAGTTTCTGCAGAGGTGACCCTGGCCTGCGTGCGGAGACCTATTTTCAAAGCTTTCTTAAAAGCTTACTTTTAAGCTTTGAGCTCTTGACGCAAACACCTTATAACTGGAGCACGTAATCCCCTTCCACGATTACATCTCGGGCCTCCTACAGATGGCACATTAGCACTGTGGGGTTTCACATTTTAGCATAAACTGGTTTTCCGTGAGGGGGGCTGTAAGACACCTCAGGATTGCTTGGCCACGTAACTGCTAATTCATCCCAGGTGCCAGGGTCTCAGCCCAGTGCCCCTGCAGCCAGGGCCACGTCTGGAAGTGGCTGTCACCTCCCCCGCCACCGCCTGGTCACGCTCCACCCCCTTCTCTGCATGGGCCGTGGCTGCTCCCTTCTCTGTGTCCCCAGCAAACCGTGAGCTGCCTGAGGGCAGGCGCAGGCCTTGTGGTCCCGCCAGCCCCGGTCCCTCTTTCGGGGCTCCCATACATGCATGTGATAAATTGATGAATGGATTAGCAGAGCCCAGACCCCAGGCACATGCTGACGTTTGCATCTCCTAGATCACCTCTTTTCAAAGTGCAGGTCGTCACCCCATTAGTGGGTCGTGAAATTAATTTAGTGGCTCATGATCAGCGTTTAAAAGAAAGAGGAAGAAACAGAATAAAAACATTTGGGCGCATCTGTGTCTCGAGGGCGAAAGCTGCTTCGTGAAGCACACACAGGGTCACAGGTGAAGTCACGCAGGTACCAGGACAGGTTGCAGTGAAGAGCTGGGGACCCGGCATCCCGGAGGTACTCAGGGCGGCGGGGGGGACCTGGCGTCTGTGGCTCCTGCGATCCCTGTTCTGAGGGCTGCCTGTGATGTTGGTCGGCACCAGGCAAGTTGAGCAGGTGGACATCACAGGCCCTCCCCAAGGTCGCAAACAACATCCCCTCCTTGGCCCTCTCGCGGCCCCTTAGAGCAGAGCTGACCGGGCAGGCAGAGGGGAAGGAAAAGGCCAGGCCCCAGGTAGGCGTGAGGCCCCCGCGAGTGGAGCGCCGTCCTGCCCACCCTCGGCTTCTGTCCAGATGTGAGCAGCTGGGGCGGTGCCCGGGCTTTAGTGGCACTCAGGACAGTCGGATACGTGCTCCGTCTGCCACGTACGGTGCTTCTGTGTTAAAGATGCTCCACAGTAGCTGCTATAACGAATACCTCCTAGACCAGAACAAACCACCTGGTTGAATCCGTCTCTCAGATGAACAGTTAAGTCCTACGTTTTAATTCTGTGCTGCGTGGACACGCCACCGTGGGGGGCAAGGGATATTCTGGGGGGTGTCTGTACAATCTACTCCAGGACCTTGGATGTCATGGAAATTCATGACAAGAGAAGCGCTTTCCCAGGAGCTGCCTCTGATCACCTTTGCCCCAGGAAGTCCAAATTCTGCCCAGGTCCAGGTGTCCTGGACCTGGGAGTGCACAGCAGCGTGGTGCGGATGGGCCCCCGGGGGGCTCCCTTAGGCCCCGGAGGGACAGAGGAGTGCCCAGCTCTGCCTGAAGCCTGGAGGCCTGCGGCTCATCACCGCTGCCTCCCTCATCTTGTCGTGAACTGGCCGTGCTTGGGCCGGGCAGCCCAGCACTTAGGCCAGCGTGCACTGCGCACACTGACCCACTGACCCACATCCAGGCCCAGGCGGCTCTTACTGTCGCTCCTCCATGCCGAGTGTCCATCCTCCACGTGGCTTGTCCAGGATTGAAGAGCCAGCCCGGTACGGGGCAGAGGGTGAGGAGGGAGCAGTGCCCCTTCTGGTTGTCGGTCCTCACCGTCCCAGGGCCGGCCGGCCTCATCCGGGCTGCCCCCGCAGACCCAGTGTCGCCTCACCCAGGAACCTTGGAGCTTCCGGAGGGAGGAGTCCTAGGTCCGACCTGGAGGCCTCTGCATTCCCGGATTCAAAATGTACTACCCGAGGGCCTCGTGTGTGTCCAGTGTGGGCCCCTCCCACCGAGATTCCTGAGAAAGGCTGTCCGGGGCCTTCTGTCCAAGGAGCTCACCCAGCACGTGGCCCAGGCCTCCACGCTTCAGCCAGGGTCCTTGTGCCAGGTGCCCACCCAGGGCTGGACACACAGAAGGAGGAGCCTCGGGGGCCCCGAGCACTGGACCCCTCACGCTGGGGCTCACGTTCTCGAAGGGCAGTCAGGGGGCACTTCGCAGGTGCTTGTACCAGGCTCCCAGGTGTAAAGAACAGAATACACACTTCCCACTTCTGCCCGCTGGAAACCCCTGGATGTGGCGGGGACGTGCGGGGAGTGAACGGAAGAGGAGGCAACAGCAAAGCCAAATGGGAGAGGCAGCTGCACTCGGCAGGTCACGGGGAGCTGAACCCCAGAGGAGCGGCAGGGTCA